CCGGAATTTGTAATTGCTCCCCTCAATTGCTCTAAATTCTAAGTTGATCAATTAATTAAGTTGTGTAATTTTACCTAATTGGGCTGAAATTCAGTTTTTAGTACCTCGCATAAAATATATGCGACGTCATACTGTTCGAGGCATGCCATCTCTGGCTTGCGTTTTACACATTTCTGGTATTCATGCGAAAGAATTCCAATTTTTCGTTTCCTACACGCACGCACATAGTGAGATCATCTTATATCACTTTGCGATCTCCTCTTCTTCTTCTTCTTCTTCATCTTCTTCTTCAGTTCTCTCTCTAGTGTGAATAATTCTCGAAGCTTCGATCTCAACTTCTATATCAAACTAAATGGCGCGCCATTGTCATTTACCTTCAGTATTTCTCTTGATTCGTGTTCTCCTTCATCAAAAACGGCGTCGTTAACTGTGAAACCCTCAAGCGTGCCGGTATTTCGCCTTTTCACCCTCAGCTCGCCTCATTTACTTTTTCATTTTTTAGTTAGTTTCTGTAATTATGATTCCGTCTATTGAGATTTTATGCTGCTTTTTACGTATTAGCTGATCAAGTTTTCAAATTTACTTTATTAAGTAGTTTCTAGGTATAGTCTTTAGACGATTTAGTCAAAGTATAGCTATTGTTATAAGGATTTTAAGTTCTACGCACTGACATAGTAAGAATTTTACACGGTATAACTTAAACTATTATAGTAAGTTACTCCACTTTTCTAAATAGGCAGAAAAGCCTAAATGGTACATATACTTGTGTCACTTTGTCATGCCGGTACTCCTACTTTACTTTTTTTTATCCAAACACTTCAACTTGTTTAAAATCTATATTTTAAACTCCTCTGACCGTGTGTATCTCACTTGCTTACGTGATATTCCATGTCATTTTTTATATTTTATCTACTAAAAACTTATTATATACTATTTCCTTAAAGAAAAAGAAAAAGAAAAAGAAAATCAATACCTCAACCTCACCTTTCTTCCCTCAAATGCACAGATTTCTTCTTCCTTGTCCATCTCATATCCCTTCTCCATTCACAACCAGAAGGTGGAGGGGAGAAAGAAGAAGCCGGGGAAGGGAGAAGCGTACATCACCAAATAGTTTTCAGTTGCCTAAAAAAAAACCTTCCAACATCATAAATCACATTCTTCATGAAATATATTAACCTAGACATTACAATTCGAATTGTAAATTGAATCATGAAGCAACTTTAACTTAGGATAGGACCCACAAAACTACCAATAAATAGAACTAGTAAACGTCAATAGTGCTTGACAGTAACATGAAGCTTAAGAATGGCTATGAGATTAGGCATATCAATAAAGTGAGTTGTCATAATGCCATAACCTTTAACAAATCTAAAAAAAACCAGTCCCTGAAACAATTGAGAATTCCCTCTCCTTCATTGCAAAAAGATCAGCACCTGGAATCTCCAAAGTACTCCCTTTGAATTCCCCATCAGTGAAAATAACAGATAACATCAAGTGCAGTCCCTTGCCATCTAACTGTGAATTTATGTACATGCCTTGAGCTCTACCAATCTCTTTGGACTTTGGATCTGGACCTTCAGTTACTGGATCATACACTACAACCATTGTTGCATCCCTATGCCAAATGCAACTTCTTTGAAAAAGAAGAACAAGTATAAATTCCAGAACATATCAGCGATGAAAAGTAGGAGGGGAAAAGCGTACAGGGGGAACGANTTTTTTTTTTTTTTTTTTTATACTTATTTTAATGACTTTTCTTCTTATTTTAATAATTTCTTGTTCAAAATGTTCATATTCACACTCATTATCTGCGTGAATTACACTAACTTTGTCCATCTCAACCATTATTTTGCCACATGTGCTTGGTCAATGGTCAGAGGGGTTTAAAATATAGATTTTGAACAAGTTGAAGTGTCTGGATGAAAAAAAGTGAAGTAGGAGGACCGGCATGACAAAGTGACACAAGTATAGGTGCCATTTAGGCCATTCTACCTTCTAAATAAGATCATATGTAATTACCTTTTAGGTGACCTGACTTTGTAAATATTTTTTTTATACTGTTAGTTCATAGCACTTAAACTCTTGTTATAATGTAGAATCAACAACAACAACCCAGTAAAATCCCACTAGTGGGGTCTGGGGAAGATAGTGTGTACGCAGACTTTACCCCTACCCCGAAGGTGTAGAGAAGTTGTTTCCAAAAGACCCTCGACTTAAGAGAATAAAAAGACAAAATGAGACAATATTAGTTTCACCACAGAAATCATAGGAAAAATAGGAACAACATGAAATCCAGAAGAAAGATGCAAAGCAAAAGCGATGGCTAGTAAATAGGTCCTGCACTGAAAAGCGAAATAGTAAGACACAACATTGCCACTAGCTATCTTAGACAAAAACCCTACCAGACTAGGCTCACAAAGGTACAAAGTAAGGCAAGACTCAACTAACTCCTAACCTACAACCCTAATACTCGACCTCCACATCTTCCTATCAAGTGTCATGTCCTCGGAAATCCGAAGTCTCGCCATATCCTGCCTGATCACCTCTCCTCAATACTTCTTAGGCCGCCTTTTACCTCTTCTTGTGCCCTCCACAACCAGCTGCTCACACCTCCTTACCGGAGCATCTGGGCTTCTCCTCTTAACATGCCCGAACCATCTAAGCCTCGCTTCCCGCATCTTGTCATCAATGGGAGCCACGTGCACCTTCTCCCGAATATCATCATTCCTAATTTTATCCATCCTAGTGTGTCTGCACATCCACATCCACATTTCTGCTACTTTCATCTTTTGGATATGTGAGTTCTTAACAGGCCAACAATCATCCCCATACATCATGGCCGGTCTAACCACCGCTTTATATAACTTACCTTTGAGTATCGGTGGTACTCTTTTGTCACACAGGACTCCAGATGCTAACCTCCTCTTCATCCATTCTACCTCAATACGGTGTGTGACATCCTCATCGATCTCCCCTCCCCCGGGATAACCGACCCAAGGTACTTGAAGCTGTCTCTACTTGGGATGACCTGTGATTGAAGCCTCACATCCACACCCACTTCCCCCAGCTCATCGTTGAACTTACACTCCAGATATTCTGTCTTCGTCCTGCTCAGCTTGAAACCCTTAGACTCAAGAGCCTGTCTCCAAACTTCCAGCCTCTCGTTAACACCGACTCGCGACTCATCAATAAGAACTATGTCATCGGCGAATAGCATGGTTTGTTAACGCATCTATTACCAGGGCGAATAAGAACGGACTGAGCGCAGAACCTTGGTGTAACCCCATTAAATACTCAGAGTCGCCTCCTACTGTCCTAACCCGAGTCTTAGCCCCATCATACATGTCCTTAATCGCCATAATGTAGGGAACCGACACACCTTTTTCCTCTAAGCATCTCCAGAGAACTTCTCTAGGAACCTTGTCATACGCTTTATCTAGGTCAATAAATACCATGTGCAGATCCTTCTTCCTCTCTCTGTACAGTTCCACCAACCTCCTAACAAGGTGTATAGCTTCTGTAGTAGAATGACCCGGCATGAACCCGAACTGGTTGTCGGATACAGACACTGTCATTCTCACCCTCACTTCAACCACCTTCTCCCACACTTTCATGGTATGACTCAGTAATTTGATACCCCTATAA